ACCCTTCATTTAAAACCTAAACCAAGGACCTCTTCGCCGGTCTGGCACTTTTATATATGAAGTGGAATTTTTGAAGTCGTTTGTATCCTCTCTTAGGGGGTGTTCGCCCACCGCACCGTCGTCACAAGAGTGCGTTTGTGAAGTGTTTAAAGGCTCTAAACGCCTCCGCCCCACGCCCCCACGCCACTTTTACTTTCGTTCTAAAATCGTCACACAAAATACGCGTTTCTACTAAATGTTGCATCCCTAAAAATAAAAAATATATAAAGCTGTCTACTTCCTGTTACCTTCAACGCATGTCTATATTTAAACGAACTTTTAAATTAACTCGGACATTATTACGAAGTTCTTTTCTTACCGAAGTGGATTTGTGGTTGAAGCAGAGTATCTACTAAGCTAATACTTAGTACAGTATACATACTTCTCTACTTTAAAGATTTCCTAGGAATTTAGTTAGGAATTATCCAACTAAATAAATCCACTTTGAGTATTTGCGGAGCGCGAGTGTTTCGAAATCTTCGAAAGCTCCAAGAAAGTTAGAGGGAGGAAACTTAATTGATGCTGTGTTACATTGCACTGCAGTTGCATTGAGTGTATTTAGAAAGCGCGTTTCGTGCGTGCACGATTGCATTGTACGAAAATACATCATGTTGTCACACACGTCTAAAAGCCACTTGTATCAAGAGTCCCGCAAGATGGAAAAAGGAAATGTGACGCATTTAGACGCGAGAACAATTCACGCTGATGAGACCTAGCAAGTTCAACAAGAACATAAGTCACACACACACTAGAAATTCTTACAAATCATAATTTTCCTGTTTTTAAAATAAGTCAACCAAAAAATTATGCGAAATGTGTTTTGAAAGTGTTTTAATTTTGACATAAAACGAATTTTGTGCATCCACCATGACACATTAAAATAACACTGTAAAGACAAAAAATTTAATTACATCCGGTTGTTGAGTGTTTGAATGTTTAGTGTGTCATACATATTTCCATTGAAATCAAAGTATTTCTTAAAAGGAAATAGTTGCGTATCTGTGATGAATTTTATTCGTGCATTTTGATTGTGGTCGGAATTTTTTCTCGAGAAATTTTCGTCGCGGTCGTCGACGCCAGGCTGTCAACATCTTTAACATCCCGAATATCCCAGCGCGACGTGCTCCTCTGGCCGAGAAACCTCATCTAAAAATATGCGCACGTTCCGTACGCATCTTCGGAACGCATGCCACCGGCTGTAAATTTAAATATTAAACGATTTATTTACTTAAAAGCTGCGAAGCCAATACCGCGACTTCCTATGACTTGCCATGACTCGGCTTTCGGTCGTGCTTTAACTTAGTGACTGACAATTCAAACAACTTCAAATATCAAGAAATCATTTTTTTGTTTTCTTCGCATAACATGTTTTTTTTGATTTTAACAAGCTACTAATTTTTTCAGACTTCTGTCAATTAAAATTTATTAATATAACTGCGTTTAACACAGCCCAGCGCTTGCGCAAACATTAATATTTAATTTCAAAGAAAAAAAGTTAAACAAATTAAAATCTTAAAATAAGTATTTAAGTTAAAAACTTTTACGAGCGAAATTCTTTAACGCTTAAACCCTTAAAAACTCAAAACAAACGCTATTTAAACTTGCAGCGTATTTGTTTCGGTAACATTCCATTAAAGTTGTGTTTAAGTTTAGAAATCAAAATTAATGCGAGATTGAAAGTTTTCGAGACTATTTTTCTTGTGCCAACTGAAAGTTTCAACTTTTTTTTTTCTTATATAGTCTATTGTATCTCCTCAAGAGTTTATTTCCGGTACTTAATCTTAACCCTAGCCCAGAACTAGTATTTTTAGTTTTTAATTTGCTATATATCCATTTACAACCATTAAATCTGTTTTTTAACACAAAGAGGAAAATTAAGATTAAATGGAACATTTCGATTGCAACAAATTAAAACGTTCAGCATGGCTAATTCATTATTTATTTCGTTTTGGTGGATATTTTAATTTTCGTGCAGTAAAAGTAAGTTTAATTGAGCCAGTCGACATTGTTGCGTTTTACTAGGGTGCGCACTTTGTGTGCGATGGAAAACAGGAACGAACCAAGCGATGCGAATGTAAACGCAAACGCCAGGGCGAAGAAAACCGCACGAAAGTTGCAAGTTTGGATTTATTGCGCGCGTCCGCGAGCTGAAAGTGCACTTTTTCAGCGTTAATGGCCGTGCATTCCTGTCATTGGCCGAAAGATGTGCAGCAAGACAAATACACTACATGTTTGCGTTTCATAACATTTTAAAATACATTTCGTTGTTGCCGCAGACGTTGATTTAATAAACAACTTTTGTGTTAAATGCTTGATTTTCGATCATTTTGCTTGATTTTGTTTGGCTTTTTGTTTGTTTTCCATTCGTTTGCTCCAAGATAAAAGCTTTTGACTTGTTTGCCGATGCGAACGAGTTAGACGTTGTAGTAAAGTTTTAAATTAAGTTGGCATAGATGCGCCTGCCTCCTTCATTAGTCTTTAGTTGGCGATGGCAGGTCGAAATTAAATATCCAGCGCGTTCTTTTGCGTTTTAGTCTGCGCTGCTTCTTTGGTACTAATGGACGTGTGCGAGCTTTTGCAGGTTAGTTATATCCTTGAAAACATTTTGCACCTTTTGCAATCCTTTCTCCTGTCTGGCATGCAGTGCACTTTGTATTAACTTTGATGTATAAATCCTTCGTTAGCGCCGAGCGTCGATGTTCATCATAAAACTTAATCAAGCTTCACCAAGGAATTGCGCAATACACATTCTAATTTATCCCAAAATGCATATGAACTGAATCTATTTAAATATTGTGTTTATTAGTTTTGCTCGCTCAACCTTGCATTTTTAATGCGCGAGTTTTAATAGGAAATACTGGTTCGTTTTGGCACTGCGTCAATAAATCGTTAAACGTATATATATGTGTTGAAATATTGCAACAGAAAACGTTACACTTTCGATAGAATCAGACATATAGTCTAATGTTAAGTTAATGTAAAACACAAAACATTTTTTTTCTGCACACACATCAAACATGTTGTTCCAGTAATAAAGCTACGTCGTGTTGTAACAAGTTTTAAATTAAATTCGACGTCATTATACGATTCGAGACCATTTCAGCAATTCGAACGTCTAATTTTAGCTAGAGAGAGAATTTAAATAATGACTACATTTACAATTCGAATGTACAACTTATTTAAATCCACTGTTCGGCGTGTGTTTGCAATTCGGTTCGAATGAAAAATATACGAATATACGTCCAGTCAAAAACATGTTTTTCATTATTGTTTTCCTGCTTTGGGTTTTTCTTTGGCTGCTTTTTTTGCTTCTTGTTTGCTTTGTAATATAGTAGGCATGAAATTGAATGATTCAATGATTCAAATTGGATGCTGATTTACTTTCAATTAAATCGCAGCCGACGGAATAATACAAAAAACTAATAGACAGAAAGCCTTTTACAAAATAAACAATGTTAATATTAATGAAGAGCTTGAATCTGTAACAATCGGATAATTTCCGAGTAATTATATAGAAATTGAAACAGTACGGTTGAAAAGAAATGCAATTATTAAACAAGAATGTTCAATTTAATTCTATTTTTAACTTGCTTTTATCATGATTAAATTTATATGAAATTATTCAAGAAAATGTACCTGAACTCATATTTCTAGGAATTTTATGATAAAATTGCATTTTTTCCTTGGCAATCAAAAAAAAATTATTAACAAATTTTATTCTGAAATGTAATTGGTATTTTAAACAACTTCTTAAAGAAATTCCAGCAAATGTGAACTATCAACACAATGAATAATCCAATTTTATAAAATCTTGAGATGACGACATTTGTAAACTAACAAATCAATTTGATCAAAGCGATTGCAAAACAAAACAAAAATTGATCAAGTTTTGATTAAATTTATAGATCTATCTATGTAAACACGTCAACCTCCTTCGCAATATTTGTAAAACATGCCGTACGATTTGTTTATATATAATTTCTTTTTGTTGTTTTTGAGATATTCATGAACAAAAACGCTGCATTTCGGCCTGAAACACACACTACCTAGAGAGACACGATACTTCGCCTTCTATTTTGCGAACATACTCACACATGCGCCCGAGTATTGTGTGCGTATGTGTAACCACGGCGTTCTAATAAATTTCGCAGCGCACAGCATCGTCTGTTTCAATATAGCATGTGCTCCTTGCGCGCCTTGGCACGAACACGGCGTTTATAATTACCGCCGCCAGCTGACACCGCGTCCATCATCCATCATGTTTGATAACACAAAAAATCACTTTCGACCGAGCGGTGACTTTAAAATTGTTACCCAGTCGACAAAAGCAGCTCGAATTCAAAATTTACTTTACTGCACATCGGGAAAACTTGAATTACTTTGCAGTTTAATTGATATCGTAATAAAATCCGAAACTAATTTTCAGCATCATTTGTAAGGACCTCAAACGTCAGGAAGGCGTAAGAGTTATCAATGCGGATTGTGGATTGAGAAACCTTGAAGATTAAAATTCAATGCTTGAATGAACAGTGTGAGGCTGTAAGGTGAGATGAAGGTTCTTCATGGGGGGAGGGTGTAATCACAGGCCGGTCGAAAGGGGTGGCTGCAGATGGGGTCTGCAAGTTAGATTTTCCTATTAGTTCGGTTCTAATCGTGTAATCTCCCTTCGTATTCCAGCAATATAATTCAGAACGCTTGGAAGACTAGCCCGCCCCACAAATTGCTATAATTGCAGACTCGTTTAGCAGGGGTACGTCATAAACGCTTCAATAGATTATAAACAGGTAAAAAATAAATAGAAATATGTTTGTTTTTTTTAAACTTTCCAGTATTTCCACGATTTTCTCGATTGGACAATTCGCAGGTCCTTGGGGAACACTTTTACAACCGTTACGTGCCGCATAGTTTATGCGTCCTTGGTGTCTCCTCTAAACTGCACATTTATGACGTTTTGCACCTACCTTGCATCGGCACGTAGATGTTCAGATAGAGACAATCCTCGGATTGATTCTCAAGATGCTTGAGCAATCGGGTAAAGTGGTCCTTGCGCGTCGGGTCCAACTGCTGGACGTCGGGCAGTTTCTGTGGGCAAACGGGACCCATCATGTCGGCGCATTTTATTCCGGGCCATGCTGGTGCACTACCTGGTGGCATAAATCTAAAAATAAAAAAATTTAGTTTAAAATTAAACAAAATATTTGCTTGGACACAATGTATAATTTGGAATGTAAGTTTTACGATAAGCATGTGTTGCGGCGACGAACGTAATTCAATGAAACCCCAAAAAGTCACTCATAAACATGAAACTTTTATATGCGAAGCGCGCACACCAGCAGGACGAGCCCGGTGTAAACATTCTGGGGACGTGCGAAAGGCGAAATGTTTTTCTCGCCGCAGGGAGCAACCGAACGATGTGATTGATGCTCGCTGCATCGCAAACGAGAGTTTGCAACAAATCAAACTGAAGAAATAAAGCAAGAAAATTCTTGAAACAAAATGAGAAGAATAAAAAAACGAACAATTATTTCAGGAATTAAAAAATAACTGTAAGTTCACGTTAAGAAAATTTATTGAGTCCTGTTTATTTTGTTGTAAATTACTTTTCCCGAAGATTGCACAAATTCTCGGAATTTAAGAAGCTTTCCTTCGATTTATTTCAACGTACTCGCAGACGGAATTTCATTAGATGTGCACAAAAATGCACTGAATAGAAAAAATACAAGTAGATGGAGAACTTGTATTGAAAACTAACGTACAACTACTTATTTTATTCGCTAGGAAATGTTTATTATATAGATAAAAATTAGATTACCTCAGTTCACTTGTTGGTGGCGCTGCATACGGAATGCCAAGATATTGTTCAACAGCGTTGAGCTCGTGATTGACACGAGGCTCAACCACCACCCCTTGGACGGCACCCTGTTTCAAATGCACCTTTCTGCCATATCGCTTCGAGCTGCTCGAGTATCCATCATCAAAGTTGCAATTTTGCGCGTTCACTAATTTCGCTTCCAGCACCAAGCTGAGCAAGCACAATGTCACCCAGTACACAAACTTTTTACTCATTTTACTCACTTCCAAAAATTCAATTAATTAATAACTAAATTAGCCGCACTTCAAAATGTATAATGCATTTTCGAAATGTATTCCATTAATGTACGTAATTATATGATGATTAGTTTTAGTATTTAAACGGCAAACTGAAACTTTGATATAATTGAAACGCATCGACTGAATCAACCTTTCAATTATGTACTTACAATGTAGTGTACGTTTGGTGTAATGTGCAATGTAATGCAATGCGTAAAACTGCCTGCATGAGCAGCACAATCCAATTATTTTATATGTTGTGGTTTGGAATTTTAAAGTTTTCACCAAATGCGTTCATTGGCACTGTGCGTGAAAACGAATTGAAAAGCAGAGCAGATTGGAAAAATCAAAAATGCGCCTGAATTGTTTACTGTCCGCCACTAATGAATTGTACGTGTGCAATAAATGCGCTCGACAATGAAATGTTTTATAATGATCAACAGAATGCTGCCGGCGTTATTAGGCATGCACTATTTGTTTGTACAATTTATTTAATTCACGTATGCGTATGATACTTGAGGGTGATTTTCAATTTAAAATTTCAACCAATGGAGATAATTATAAACTGCTTTTTTATATGGTTAAATCACAAATATAATTCGATGTGCACGCACGCACACAATCGAAGCACTACATGCTCGGAAAAGTTCTGAAGAGTTTAATCCATCAATTACATTTTGCGCGCACAATATAAACAATTTAAATCCATCCGTCAGCATACGAAATGCACGTAATTTCCCGTCCGTGGACGCATCGACACTGAAATGACTAAAACCGAAACACGGCCGGCTAAAATTAAAAGAATGCCGCGTTTCGTCGCCGCGACTCCATTTCCCAAAGCTCGGCGCACGAGCCAAAAGCTCAACTGAACTGCGACTTAAGTCCGTTTAGTCAGTTTAACGAAGATAGTAAGCAGTGCAAGCAACAAGAAACGATGTGACATCGCACTTTTAGTCTATTTTTAAATCACGTGCACGAGTGGTGGCGCTGCCATCGACCAAGTATACTTAAGTCACACATTACTAGTGCATAGTGCATATAGTAAAAATAAGTCCGTGGAGAAACACTCAAATATAACATGAAAAATAAAACAAATAAATTTACTTTCAGAAACTACAAAATCTAATAACAAAAGTAGTTTAAAGACGTGCTAAACTTAAAAGTCGTGTTCGTGGTATAATTAAAATGCGTCACGCTAAAATTAATTATTTCACGCTGATTATTCTTATGTTACACGCCACGCCATAAAATAACATGCCTTACACTCATTACTTTCTATCTACTACATCGACAAAAATTAATTCTGTATTAAAATATTACTTTAGGAAAAAAAGTTTCAGCTTGTTTTGCGTTCTAAAATTAGCGATTCTTGTAAAGACCAAACATAGCGAATCTCTTCTTCTTCTGGCTTGCCAAAACTCGCCGTTTTACTTTCGCGATGCGTGAAGCTGCTTGCTGGCTGCTCGCTTTTTGGATGGTGGAGTTTGAGCGTCTAATTTTAGACTCCGGACGACACCGAAGATGTCCGCCGCAGATGTTGTGTGTTTTGGTTATAAGCGAGCGCGGCACCATCTTTATTTTATTGCAGGACATTATGCTACATTATGCTATTTATAATAAATCTTTGCGTTGCACCAATGCCGAGACGCTCGCGGAGAATGCACGCACAAGTCAACGCTTTGCCTCGATTAATTTCATCGGAAAACAAACAAGCAAGATATTATTACAAACATATTACACGAAAATATTTTGAGTCCTTTGACAAGTTCCAATGCACAGAGCGCAATTTTAGTAAGAACTGTTTATTATTATGCAATTTTTTTCATGAAAATATTTTTTTCTTTAACATTTTTAATAAATTTTCAAATTATTCCAGGATGATTGGTTGCTACCTTGAAAATGTAGAATATTTCACATTAATATGCTCCTAATAGATGTAATTTATAAGCACTTATTGAAATTAATAACGGGATGTCATAAATTCACATAACTCGATGTATCAAAAATTCCGGTTGTATTTTATTGCATTGCATCGAATTGCATTGCACTGCTTTACATTCTCCATCATTCTGCAGGTCTGTTTGCTTTTTTACCAGACTGCAATTTGATTCATCGACTTGCCTTCCGCACGTAAACCTATTTATTACGTTCTATGTGGTAATATAAGCATATTCCAATAAGGCATTCACGCTATTTAATAAAGATAAAATTTATACTAGGTTGGAAATGGTAGGTCTTCAACAGCAATGCCATAAATATTATTTTAATATCAAAGCAAATTATTATTTTAAATTACAGTCCAAGTACTCTTTGATTTCGTCAGATATGTTGGGAGCTTTCTTTGGAAGCGTGATTGCGCTCCGGACGGCGCCAGTCTAGAATCTAGATTCCAGATATTTCTATGGCGTTTGGTAATGAGCGAGATTTACGTGCGACGATGTGCGTTTGAAGACGGCGTTAGTTTTGTTTAAAAATAATATGATTAGGTTCAGACTCGCCAGTGCATTGCGAGCGCAACGAGCGCGGAGAAAAAAGTGTGTGCGGTTGCGGCTAGTCGCTTGCTGCAACTACTCATAAATACAAATAGAATTGAGTATAAAAGACATGATAAAACAATGTCTCATAGACAATTTTAACTTATCTAATTAAAGGTATATATAAAACATTAAAATGTTCATATTAAAAGTAAATGTAAAATTGTTGAATTCAGTCCGGAAACGAACAATAAATTATTTAGCTGTTTGCTAACATTATGAAATTATAAAATTACGATAGAAAATATCTAATGCAGATATATTTTAATTGATATAGTATCAACTTTACCTATATGTATTTTAATTCGTAATTTAAATAAAACTCATAAAACTCAATAATACTTTCAATCTGTGTTTGTAGTTTTGCACTACGTGCCTATCAGTGTTTGTATATAAACAGGTTTTTTGCGTTCGCGCCTTCAGGTAGGGGTATCACAATAGCTAGCGATAGTAACCGCGTGGCATCGTAGCAGTCAGTATGCAGTTCTGTTATCGTCGCGGCGTGGATCGCGTGTTCTTTACGGGTTGCATGGTCTTTAAACAAAATATTTCGGTAAATAACGGTTTCGTAATTGTTTATTAAGAATATCCAGTATGTTTCGCGTGGATGGTGGCAAAGTGCAAACAAAGTTTCCATAAAAATGTGCGTGAGGCGTAATTGTTGCGCCGCTATGTGTTTTTCCTGATTGCCACTTGATTTACATCATTAATCGATTCATGAGTTACCACAAATTAAAGGTAGGTTCATAACTTTTGAAGTGAGGTGTTATCGGTATTATTATTATTTACCATGTTGTTTATCAGCTAGCAAACGTATAAATAGGCAGCTATGTAAGCATGTTCAATCATAGAGGCATGAATGAGCCATGAGCCATGTATTCTTCCTTTTATTAATTAAATTATTCGGTTCAGGGCACGGCATATGGTTAGCGGTAGAAGTGACTCGGTTCAGGGCACCGTATAAGGTTAGCGGTAGAAGTGACTCGGTTCAGGGCACCGTATAAGGGTAGCGGTAGCAGTGACTCGGTTCAGGGCACCGAATAAGGGTAGCGGTAGAAGTGACTCGGTTCAGGGCTCCGTAGGGAGTGACGGTAGAAGGGCCTCATATCTGGAATATCTTACGAAGGTAGCGGCCTAAGTGACTTGCATTTAGGGTACCGAATGAAGGTAGTGGTAGAAGGTCATATCTTGCGAACCGTGTGCAATATTTTTATGATTTCTTCTTTATGCGATGAAGTAGGAGGCACTTTTCCAGATGCATCCTTAAAATCTCGCGAATTTCCATCCTAACTGTCCCAAAATGGCCGCGAAAATTTCTTCTTTTCTACTATTTTTCAAAATTTACGGTGGAAAACTGGTCTTATCTCGCGAACCCTTTGCAATATTTTAGTTATTTCTTCTTTATGTGATAAAACAAGAGTCATTTCTCAAGGTGAACCTTTGAAACCTTGCGAATTTCAGTCCTAACTGTATCAAAATGGCCGCGAAAATATGCTCTTTTCTAGATGTTTTGAAAACTCACGGTGAAAAAATGGTCATATCTTGCAAACCCTTAGCAATATTTCAGTTCTTTCTTTTTTATATTATAGAACAAGAGTTCTTTTTTAAGTTGCATCTTTGAAACCTCGCGAATTTCAGTTCCAACTGTCTCAAAATGGCCGCGAAAGTTTGCTCTCTTTTTGAATTTTTTAAAACTTACGGTGAAAAACTGGTCATATCTCGCAAACCCTTCACAATATTTTAGTTTTTTCTGCTTTATATGTTAAAACGAGAGTCCCTTTTTAAGATGCACACTTGAAACCTTGCATATTTCAGTCCTAACGGTCTCAAAATGGCGGCGAAAGTTTGCTCTTTTCTAGCATTTTTCAAAATTTTTGGTAGAAAACTGGACATATTTCGGGAACCCTTTGCAATATTTGAGTTATTTCTTTCTTATATAATAGAGCAAGAGTCCTTTTTCAAGAATCACTCTTGAAAACTCGCAAATTTCAGTCATAAGTGTCTCAAAATGGTGGCGAAAGTTTGCTCTTTTCACGCATTTTTCAAAACTTTCGGTGGAAAACTGCTCATATCTCACGAACCCTTTGCAATATTTTAGTTATTCCTTCTTTATATGATAAAGCAAGAGTCCTCGTTCAAGATGCACTCTTGAAACTTTGCAAATTTCAGTCCTAACTGTCTCAAAATGGCCGCGAAAGTATGCTCTTTTCTAGAATTGTTGAAAACTCACGGTGAAAAACGGGTCATATCTCGCGAACCCTTTGCAATATTTGAGTTATTTCTTTCTTATATAATAGCGCAAGAGTCCATTTTCAAGAATCACTCTTGAAACCTCGCGAATTTCAGTCCTAACTGTCTCAAAATGGCGGCGAAAGTTTGCTCTTCTCTCGCATTTTCCTAAACTTTCGGTGGGAAACTGGTCATATCTCGCGAACCCTTTTCAATATTTTAGTTATTTCTTCTTTATATGATAAAACAAGAGTCCTCTTTTTAAGATGCACCCTTAAAACCTTGCGAATTTCAGTCCTAACTGTCTCAAAATGGCCGCGAAAGTATGCTCTTTTCTTGAATTATTGAAAACTCACATTGAAAAACTGGTCATATCTCGTGAATCCTTTGCAATATTTTTGTTAGTTCTTTTTTATATTATAGAACAAGAGTCCGTTTTTAAGATGCACCCTTGAAACCTTGCAGATTTCAGTCCTAACTGTTTCAAAATGGCCGCAAAAATTTGCTCTTTTTTTGAGGTTTTCAAAACTTACGGTGGAAAACTGGTCATATTTCGCGAACCTTATGCAATATTTGAGTTATATCTGCGTTATATGATAAAGCAAGAGTCCTCTTTCAAGATGAACTCTTGAAACCTTGCGAATTTCAGTCCTTACTGTCTTAAAATGGCCGCAAAAGTATGCTCTTTTCTAGAATTTTTGAAAACTCACGGTGAAAAACCGGGCATATATCGCGAACCCTTTGCAATATTTTAGTTATTTCTTTTTTATATTATGGAACAAGAGTCCATCTTTAAGATGCACCCTTGAAACCTCGCAAATTTTAGTCCTAACTGTCTCAAAATGGCCGCAAAAGTTTGCTGTTTTTTTGAATTTTTCAAAACTTAACGTGGAAAACTGGTCATATCTTGCGAACCCTTTGCAATATTTTAGTTATTTCTTCTTTACATGATAAAGCAAGAGTCCTCTTTCAAGATGTATCCTTGATACCTTGCAAATTTCAGTCCTTACTATCTGAAAATGGCCGCAAAAATTTGTTCTTTTCTAAAAATTTTTAAAATTTATTGTAAAAAACTGGTCATATCTCGCGAACCCTTTGCAATATTTTCGTTATTTCTTTTTTATATGATAGAAGAAGAGTTCATTTTTCAGATGTACCTTCGAAACCTTGCAAATTTCAGTTCTAACTATCTCAAAATGGCCGCGAAAATTTCCTCTTTTCTGGAATTTTTCGAAACTTCCGGTGGAAAACTGGTCATATCTCGCGAACCCTTTGCAATATTTGTGTTATTTCTTTTTCATATGATAAAACGAGAGTCATTTTTCAAGATGCTCCCTTGATTCCTTGCGAATTTCTGTCCTAAGTGTCTCAAAATAGCCAAGATAATTTGCCTTTTTTAGAATTTTTTAAAACTTACGGGGAAAACCAGGTCACATCTTGCAAACCTTTTACGATATTTTAGTTTTTTCTTCTTTATATGATAAAACAAGAGTCCTTTTTCAAGATGCACCCTTGAAATCTTGCGAATTTCAATCCCAACTGTCTCAAAATGGCCGCAAATTTTGCTCTTTTCAAGCATTTTTTAAAATTTACGGTGCAAAACTGGTCATCAAAACTGATAACACAAGAAGTCGGGAATTTTTTGTACGTTTTAAGACGTGTGGTTAAAATCCGGTCATATCTAGGAAAATTTCTATTTTTATATTTTGCAATACTAGGAGTTTATGTCAATTTTAATAACCGCGCGTTTTTGGTAGACTCGGTAAATGAAGTTTTGCCCGTGTTTATTTTGCAACATCTTCGCGAACGTAAACAACTGTTTTCTTGAGCGAGTTTACACTGACGAGTGTAGCACTGATACAGGGAAATTATTTAACAAATTGCTGTATATTTCTGCGTATTAGTATCCAATATATTAGAGATAATTGCTTTATTAAAATATTAGTAGGTAGATATAATATTTAACTTATCGCCGAGCGATATGTTTTGTCTCAGCCTTATTTTATGGAGACTAATACGCAATGTTTTAACTCTCATTTCTTACAGTGAATGATTAAATTAGGGGCGGTATTGTGAATACCAATTAACTAAAGTAGTTAAACTATACAGTAAACTTATACAATAAATTATTTATTTGTAATGGTAAATTAAATTCATGTTTTTTGACGTGATAACGTCTTTAAAATCGTTTTAGTCGGGTGACATGTTCAGAAACTTGTGTCACGAGGCCTCCGATCGCAGGTATAACGAGAGAGAGAGAGACGGACCGATCTCCCGTCTCATCTCGAGCGCTGCCAGTCATTCCGTGAAACTTGACACGCGGAATCCACACGAGCGGAGGCAGGCATAGTGTTCGAGTGAGTTGACCGATCTTCCGTCTCTCTCACTCTAGCGGCATACAAACGAATGGAGATTTTCTCGTGCGGTTAAGTTTTCGTTGAATATTTAACAGTGAAACAAAATGTGAAGTGCAAGTGAAGTGTTACAACAATTGCAACAAAAAAAACTTATATCACCAATAAGACGTTATCACGTAAACATCTCGATCGTAAACCTACTTTACAAACCACAATTTTTTTTTCAATCTTATTGCATCCCTAAATCTCCCCATCAATGCTTAGGTAGGCGTGTAATTAATTTTTTTTCATCAAAAGTTAAGTTAAGTTAAATATTAATTTTGCATTTCTATCAGAATTCCTAGTCCCGTTTCCAAAAATAACATAAATGATTTAATTATTACAAACACGGTTTCTAAAATTATGTGAAGATTATTAAAATGACAATATTCATGTGGTCGACCACGTTCACTTTGCTATCAGTCGTCAGCTCGGTTATCTTTTCGCTGAACACGTGAACGTTTTTAATCGATTTGCACTTCTTAGCATCATTAAATTAAAAAGTTTCTTGTTGACCTAGTAAAATCTTGTACGTTGAATAGTTTTTCGTTTTTGAAGTTTGCGTATATCTTAATATCTACAAAGAAATAGTTAATTTTATCGTGATTAACAACAACTGTATTGCTAGGCGCCCTCGCTTGCCGTCTGCTGATTTAAATGTTTTCCGCCGGATATTCTATCAATTTATGATGATGCTTGACCCGTCGGTTATCTTATGCAGTTGACGTTATCATCAAATAATACGTTTGAATACAATATATTAAAATTCAAGTGTTTTATTTTCTCACCACCTTATTGCTCAACTTTCCGATGATTTTTGGGGAGTTTTCTATTAAAATATTGTTGTTTCTTTGCAAATTTCCCCCTTCATGTTATAGTGAGTGAATATTGACTAGTTTCTAAAATTTTCTTTTTGAAACACCCTGTAAATTAGTTTTCCTAACACCACGTAGAAAATTGCCTTTATTTGTGAGTTTTTAGTATTCTCTGATTTGAACTTGGTATTTTCTTTCAGGTACACCCTGTATATTAGTTTTCTTTTGTGTCGGTGAAAATTTAGCTTCATCTGGTGTTTTTAAAGTTTTTCTCTTTACGTTTTGAATTTTATTTCTGAAACACCCTGTATATTACTTTCCCCGATTGTCGAGGGAAAACAGCCGACGTTTTTATTGTTTAGAGGTTTATATTTTCACTTTAATTTTTTGTAACACCCTGTATATTTGTTTTTATTTTCAATCACGTCGAAAATTGACGATTTGCTAATTCCTTTATCTCGGTAGAACTTTAGTAAGTGGTACTTGCTTGCATGTGCGCGGCTAAGCAGGTTGTAAATTCTGTTTCAATATGGCGCCATGTATTCTGTTGACTTGAAAAATCATAGCACCTGTTGGCCCAATTTCTCGATGAATATCGGGAAAAATCTTTGATTTCGTATTAAAATATTGTTCTGTATTTGTAAATTTCCGTCTTCATGTTGTGAATATTGACTCCCTTGTAGTTTCTAAAATTTTCTTTTTGTAACCCTGTATATTGGTTTTCCAACCACTACGTAGAAAATTGCCTGTATTTGTAAGTTTTGAGTGTTCTCCGTTTGGAATTTGAGATTTTCTTTCTGAAACACCTTGTATATTCATTTTCCTTTGTGCCCGCAAAAATTTTGCTTCAACTGTTGTTTTTAGGGTTTTCGTCATTGCCCTTTGAATTTTCTTTTTGTGACACCCTGTAGATTAGTTTCCCGGAGCCTCGGGTGAAAAACGAATGTTATATGTTTTGTTGAGAGTTTTTGTTTGCACTTTAAATTTTCCTTTGTAACACCCTGTATATTTATTTCCATTTTCAATCACCTAGAAAATTGGCAATTTACTAATTTCATTATACCGCTATAACTTTATGAAGAAGTATTTACTGACATATGCGCGGCTAAGCAGGTCGTAAGTCCTGTATCAATATGGCGACATGTATTCTGTTGACTTGTAAAATCTACACTTGTTTTCTATTGTTAATAAAGAAATAGTAAATATTGACTTCTTTGATTTGTGTGTTCGCCTTCTATCATTTCAGGAACAGGTCTCTAAGAGAGTTCCTTCTTTCAGGGGATGATCCCCTCTATAAAAATTGTTAAGGTAACCTGTATGATTTGTGTACTCCTTCTCTCATTTCAGGTACAGGTCAGAACTTGTAAGAATATTTTTAAGTGTCACCTCTTTTTGGGCAACAAAACTTAGAAATATTTGAACAAGACCTTAAAAGAATTGTCCTTATAAGGAGTTCCATCTCTCTGGGGGTGATCCCCCACCATAAAAATTGTTGATATGCCTGATAATTCCGGGGATGAAGCGCAGAGACATCGTAGCTGTAGGATGGGCCGGGAGCAATGGACGGATCGAAACAGTGGGCTGTCTAATGACACGGGCCAAAAAATTTAAAAATCTGATCCTCTCCTGTTCTCTTTCTTCTATCTCCTCCTCTTCTCAACTCTACTCTCCTCTCTGTTTTCTTCCTTCTATCTTCTCCTATTCTCTACTACTCTCATTCTTATATTTCTCTGTTCTCCGTTTCTCCACTCGCTTTCTTATTTCTTCTCATATTGCATTCACTTGTATTTCAATTTCTCATATATTTCGTTGCAATTCATATATGCAACCCAAATTACAACTGATATTTTTATATTTGAGAAAAATGCCTTCTATACCTGAGATTCGATCCGTGTCTGCTAGCATGCCTGCAGGTGCACGTCTCCACTCGACCACCGAGTGTTTTTATCATCATTATTTGATTCTTCTATTTATGTTTCTAGTTTTATCATGTTTTTAAAAACAACAACACAATTTAAGCAACAGTTATTTATGTTATACCCGAAAACTGAAAACGACAAAGAGGATACCACAAAGAAATATGAATGAGATTATAATTTTACATGGGGTTTTATTGACAGCTTTTAACAACAGACACATTTTGTTAAATAAAAAAATAATCTGAAGAAACATGACAAGTCAAACACGCGCGTTTTATTCGTTGGCCGGAATGGAACTGCATGTTCACTGAACTGCACACAGTCAACGGCGACAACAAACGGCCACTATCAGTATTGCGATACGCTTGCTGAACGCTACTAACAAATTTGAAAACATACAAAATATCGCACGTATTTTAACTATAACAGCATAGTAGTGGTCCTAACATTCAAGAACCGAATTCTATGGCACTTTTCGATCTACAAATAATTAATTCCAATATGAGGATCGTTTTCCATTTCAAGTATGCAATGATCAAAATTGTTGAAACTTGAAACAAAGTCGTTTCGACTTTAAACAAAGTAAACAGAAGTACTTTAATCATCGGCCTTCTAGGAAAGATTACAGCTTCTGGTGCGTTAGAGTTAACAAATTGGGCCTTGTTTCTGCAACTGTGTTTGAATATATTTAAATCTTTCTGAATCTGAAAAATTCCTTACTATTTTCAGCTAACGAGCAGGTTTACATCGCCTACAAGGATAGGTTCTTGCCGTTGAGTATGCTGGATAATAGCCCCGATTGATAGACTTGCAGACCCAATGCAGTGAGTTTACTGTGATATCATAATATCGTTGGCTACCATCCGCCTTCACCGTTAGTCGCACTGTACTCTTTCCTTCTTGCTAGGTATTAGTTTGAACGTCACTATGGGCCTCTCCCATGCCCTGGGCATATAATCTGAAACTAAGATAAGCATTCATTAAACATTTGCCCTGATCTTTCAAATTTCAAATTATATTAAAGTAATGAGACCTATTTTTCTTTTTCTGGAACAGAAATATAAGAAATATTAACACGTAAATACTCGCCCATAACGATAGTAATTTTAACTAAACAGAAGGTAAAAGACAATTTTTCTCCAAATGGTCGACAGCATCATGGGCACAAATCAGTCAAAATTCATTAACTGGTAATTAAGCTAAGTAAAGTAAACACTGACTGTACGCTATACTCGCACAATATCGTTATGAAAAACTGTTTTTCATAACAAAAATTTGCAAATAAGTAATTTTTCGTGAAATATTTGTGTTTTTTCTGATTTGCTCGCGACCTAGGCGGCGCAGTAACTTCAGCAGGGCGTCTGGAGATGCAGAATTAAATTCTCCGTCGAGTGGTATTTAGTTGTTGCAAGATTAGGCGGCGCAGTAACTTCAGCGTAACTTCCAACCAGTAGGTGTGCTAACGAGACCTCTAATGGTCGAAATAGCTATCCACATCAGGTTTGACAAATACTTGCATTGACTTGCAATGGTTTAGTAATATATCGATTTTCATAACGATATTGTGAGGGTATAGCGTACAGTAAGTAAGTAGGTTAAGTGTTTACTTTACTTAGCTTAATACTCACCCTCTCGTACAACCATTGTCTTTTCAATAAAAAATAAAAGTCATCGATAGAAACAAACGCTATTTGTCAAATTAAAATAATACAGAACGATGCAAGACACAAGGATCACACACGCACCCACCAGCGACTGACACGAAACTGGCACTGTGCTGTTGCAATTCACTTGTTGTACTACTGGCGCGATCAACAAAAAATCTGTTTATACATAAACAAGCAGGGATAAATCTTGACAACTTGACTACGTGACAAAACTTAAGCAAATATAGTAAGTAGAAAAGAATACTTCAAATTTCTATAAATATAGTATCGGACTATTTTTTTTAAATTTAATTAGCCCGATGATCATATTTACCAACTTTAGATCAAACGGCGATGTACATGCATTCGCTCCTAAAAATGATATTATAAAACCTGATTCCATAAAAAATTTAAAATGCCCTCTTAATTTTGATGTTCAAATGTGTCCAAGGTTATGGTTGAAGGATGAAGGTCTAAGGAGGCCTAAAGGATGAGGCACGAAGAACGCAGGATAAAGTAGAAGCTAGTCCGGGTGAGGAACGCACGCAATTTCATTTCTGACGCGTAGCCGACGCGATATAAGGTCGTAACCCATCATTGACCCGAAAATTGATTCTTGAGCTCGCTTCCTCCTCCGCGCCACCTTCTTTTCGTCTCTCTGCCGCTCTCATTTCAACTCATTTCGATTCAGGACTGTCTAAGGTCTTTATTCATCTTGGTCGCATCTCTGTCTGACAGTCAGCCGCTGCTGGTTTTGAACTCTGGCGGCTTTTGGCCGTTCGTAGGATAACTTAAGACATCCGCACGAAATTCCACAGCCGCCTAAGTGCTCACCTCCGACTCATCCCAAACACCCGGACGCAGCCGAAAGCTTCTCGTCATCCCATCACTCTAACTGGGGAGCTCCTAGCAGGAACTTCTACCTCTATCTTTAATGTCTTGGCTGGGTTTGCTCTGGTTTGCCTTATACTCTCAAATATTTCAAAACAGCGAACGTTTTGTTATTGTAGTGATTGTGGTCGCTGCCAAAAATTCATAGAATTAATTCGCGTGTAAACATAGACCACTTAAATATTTAATGCCCTATCGGCAATTCATCCGGCTAATAATTAAGAGAATCATTATGATATCCATTGCCATTATAGATTTTATAGTAGTAATAACTCTTAGTGTCGGATCTAAATTATTTCGATCAATTCACAATCCAAATCAACAAATTCCAAGATTTCATCCACATCACATAATGCATACTTCCTAGTCATGATTCTGCATTAACTTTCATTTTCACGTCTGGTGGGTTGCATACTACTACAGCTTCCGGTGACGATTCTAAGGGTGGCGGGATTGCGTAGACCGAATAGAGCCTGAAGCAATAGCCGCCCGTTTTACGACACCTTTATATAAGATTAATGTCCTTAATTACGGTTCGTCATTTATTTTCGAAAAAAAGGAGAAGTGGGAAAGCGGAAAGCTGAATGCGACGCTCTGGCTAAGGGCACTTCGCATCGAGTGCACTGCCTGTGGGGATGTAGGTGTGAGAGGGAATGAAAAAGCGAACGGCGACGCGCCGCTCGGCAATAATGTTCGGATAATGGTTTTATTTTTATGTCATAATGTAACAACGTCCGACGCACTCAAGTCGCGAGCGTTTTATAACGTCCATGATACCTGGCACCGCCAGCGCCATCTACTATACTAAACAAAATGGAATCCACATGCGTCGGGTATAATTAAGAATAAATTTTCCGCATATTAAAAACAAGCTCGAGTTTTTAAGTTATGGCGAAGTGTTGTTTAATGGTTTTGGAGTTATTATATGTCGTTTGAATGAATATTTTATATTTATTTACAGCGCGATTTTTATTGGCCAAACAAAATCAGGCAAAATTTTATTTCATTTTTTTTCCAAACGGTAAAATCTTCTAACTTATGAATAAATGTCCCCGAACACGTTTTAACATGACTCCTACTCCTGTCTTGATAAAATTTTAAAATTTGTGACGCGTGATATTTCTCAGCATATCGTGTTATATGCGCTTTTTTTTTACATCACGTTGAATTCACTGCGCAATTCAGTTTTTTTTTTCAACTTCTTATTTAAGACTTCTCGTCAGTTCCTTATGCTCTGCATTTCGTGCTTGTTTCAGAGTTTAGTTAATGTTGTTTTTATTATATGAGTTTTATTTCTCGTAAAAACTTTTCTCAAAGAAAATATCATAATTTTTAGAAATTTCGTGCCGGGCTACCAAAATGCACAAACAATCATTTATGAGTAATTGAAAATTTTTGGAAGGTTAATAAATAACAGTGCTTTTTTGCTCTCTGAACGAAGACGTTGTCGGAATAAGAAAAGCCGAACTACTACGAACGGAAAATGAAAAAAATGAAAAAAGTAAGAAAGTATAAAACGACTTGGATATATCGAGCATCATTTTTTATGTCGACAGAAAAAGATTTTTTTCAGTTCATTTTTTGCTACTTTTTGCGTTGAAAACGGAAGAAAACCAGGCAAGCGATGGAAAAAGTGATGCCAACAAAGGCTCGTACTGGTCGGGATGAACTATAGCCGGTGAACTAATTTAAGGTGAGCACCATCAGTTTTTACTACAGTTTGGGGAGTTATTATGGAACTTATTTGTGATAATCTCAAATGAAATATATCAACCGGATGACATTTTGAAGCGGATATAAATTTACAATATAACGCCATCTTTTGTGTATTACCATCTAAAGCTTAGTTAACCGAAAATGGCAAATCAATTTACAACATGCACTCATTTCAACTTCCTGCCGGCATTTCAAAAAAAGCCCTCGCTTGTTTTTTGCAACATCGACACGTCATATCCGAAAATGGAAATTAAATTATCTCCCACGCACATTTGTTGGGTGCCTGAAGAGCGCGAGTTAGCGATTGATGATTAATTAATGGTGCGCGGACGTTTTTGTTTTGTTGCCGGGGGTATTGTTTGCTTTCGACCACCCTGGTGCTCCCCGCTGGCGCCACCGCGTTTTTTTGAGGGGTTGCTTTTTTTCTAATGACCATTACATTAGTAGATCAACGTAAATAATATTATTATACATAATGGAAGCTTATGGTCGGATCTTTTTTGCCACGCCACTCAAACAAATGGAGTTGAATTGTAGGAACAACTTATACAACCGAAACTCGTGACATTGTGAACATATTCGTCGGCAGTAAGCAAAACATTCAAGCGTTATTAATTAATCATGATTATTTCATAAATGTTGTTTTGTTGGCTTTACGAAAATGATTATGATAAAATGATACATTCACTCCTGCACTGATAAAAAATTGTAGTCTTTCATGTTATTTAAATGACATTCAAATGTGCTCTTGAGTTGTTTAACTAGCGCCATCTAGATTCAAGTAGTTTAAGATTTAAATGAGTTGTACTTTTGTAATTATCCCGACTTGTCTGTAGCATTTACGTTCATTTTGTTCAATTAGTTGTTTGTCAGCGGTACTAATAAGGTTAAAGATGATTAAGATGTCTCTAGAAGAAAATCCTTTTCCATCTTGTTTTCCAACCCGTTCCAGTGGACTCGCCTTGCGTTGTTCATTTTGATTGCGACTTCGTGTCGAACATTGACAACGACGTGACGATCATATTTGCGCAGTCTTTAACTCGCGACGCCAAGACGCTTATAACTAAGCGGGTGACAGGCAAAAAGAGAACGAAAAGACGACAAGGGATGGCACAATGTCGAGTAACGCGATACGATGACTTGAGTCTTTGCTGGAAATGAGCGATGAGAGCGGACGAAGCATTCAAAGTGATGAGAACGAAGCTGGTGTTATGGATAAAGATGTCGAAGCGTCACCGGGCAGTTGATGAGGTCTATAGAAAAGAGTTAAGGCTAAAAACAAAAACTAATGTTTAGCAAATTCACAAATTTTCTAATAAAAATGTGTGATTTTATTTATTTGGGAATAGAATAAAATTAAAAACTTATTTTTTTCTATTGTGATGTTACTTGGTTGAAGTTTTGAGAGCAAATGAGAGTAGCGAGTGTGGTAAAGGACCGGGCTGCTGCGGCGGCGGCGCGTGACGCGCAGAGGGGGCGCTCCTGGTGCGCCGTGAGGCGTCGCGCCGCCGCCGCCGCCAGTCGGCCGCAGGAATCGCCGCGCGACGTTTCGTTCAGGGGGCGTATTGCGTTGAAAAGCCACCCGCGGTGTGTGCACGCCGCGTGCATGTATGCAGATTGCGCTCCGCATCATCAGTGAATTACCCTAATCACCTCTTAAAACGTGTGCAAGTGAATTAATTAACAAATCAATAGATACATCAAACAAATCAAAATAAGCAATTAAACGGCTACCGCACCAACAAAACGAAACAAAGTTACGTGTACCATAAGTACACAATTTCAAAATGCAGCTGTATTAATTAAATTAAACCATGGTGGACAGTTAACTTTGAGGTTATCATAACCTAACCTCAATTTAAAATCACAAACCGCCTAACTTGCAATTAACTTAAAATTACTAGTGTGTATATTGGATCTTAAACAGAATGTGTCTATGTCAACTGTAATCTAATAAATGTGTAGTGTCAGGTCGAGAAATGTAACCACCCCCAATACGCTTGTCTTGTAATCACAATGTGCGTGAAAACGCGCGTGTTCCTCTTGGTTGCCTTGGTGGTGGTGGCGATGGTGTCGGGCGAGCCGGTAGCGGCGGGTGCGTCTTCATCGTCAGGTGTGGGTGCAAATAACGGTTTAGGGGGCGGCGGCGGTGTCTCAGCCGCCGAACGTGCCCCGCTTACATCGCGCACTGTACGCACCAAATACGGCGATGTGAGTGGTATTATTGTACAACTCGATGCTAAACACCTGGAACCGGTGGAGGTGTTCCGAGGTATACCATACGCCAGCCCGCCGCTGGGCAGCCTCCGATTCATGCCGCCCGTCACCGGCGCGCTCTGGAGCGGTGTGAAGATTGCCGACCGTTTCAGCCCCGTCTGTCCGCAGCGATTGCCGGATGTGCGCAATGAAACTGCTGCTCTTAAGCGCATGCCACGAGGGCGGCTGGAGCACCTCAAACGGTTGCTGCCGTATCTTCAAAACCAAAGCGAGGATTGTTTATATCTGAACATCTATGCACCAGCACAAGGTAATTTATAGTTATAAGTACTTAGATTTATAAAAAAAGAACGTAGGTTGTAAATTATGCAACCTGCATGGTTTTGACTGGGTAGCGCGCTCATTATATGTGGGAAGTTTTCGAGTGGCGAGAGGAGCGCACTCGGGTTAATATGCTGATGACGCTGGCGCTATTGAAAATTAATGATTTCCACTCGAACGCACTCATCGCGGCGCTCGACGCAACACCGAAGACTTTTCAGCGCTTTCCAATGCCCTCTGAACGCTCGCAGGTAATAATACATTGGCTTTAACTTTGCGAAGCCTCGTCGTTGAACCCCGGAACGTGCACGAGCGAAAACGAACGAGTGTGGGCAAAGAAAAGCGGAAAAGCTTTAATGAACTATCAATAATTATTTTTAATCATCTCTTGAAACTGCCTAGCGCAAAGCTTTTTTCCAGCCAGCGATTCAAGTGTCGCAGAAAAATTAATTTAACTAAATCCAATTATTGCTCCGCCTAATTAATTAATTAGCGAATTTGGGGGAGTCATCCGCTGTGTACTCTTCCACTCGTCGCACAGCATAGACACGTTGATATGTGTAATGCTCACGTTACGTCTAGTTATGTTCAAGTTACACACAATTATCCACACCGAACACGTAATATTCAGGTTAATCGTGTGCCACACTAGCGCCACCACCGCGCCAACAAAGTGATGTAATCTTCATTCTAATGTGCGAAACGTAATTGTACGTAATGCACGAAATGAATTGTGTGCGGCCTGTGAAGAGATTTGTGTGTGTACCAACCACATCTGGATGTGTGTTTGTTGTCAATTGCTATGTGTATGTGCGTACATTTGAGGTTATGTATGTAACACGTGTCGACCTTTCGGTTTTCGTACGCGTACATTTTGTATGAGTCCTTCTACCTTCCTTCACTTGTTTTTGGAGGTCATACCTGAGTTCACTGCGTCTCTGTTTGGAATATATTAAGCGCACATCGGATCTGACGCGGGCAGGCCGACGCCATTATGAGAAAATTAGCAAATGTGAGCATCGAATGCAAACAGCCCCAGGCGGCCCGGGGACGAGGATGAACCTTGCGTGTAACAACAAACAAATTTTCAAACAATATACATATAAAGAGCAATTTTCAAACAAATAAGAGATTGAAATGAAAATTCCAAATTTAATAAAGGTAAACCAACGTAGCGGAACTAATCTGTGTACGCGATCTTTATTTGTTTTTAATTTTGTATTTGGTGTGTTTGTTTCTTGTTTTGTGTCTTTGTAGTTTTACTATTTGCTTTCGACTTGCGGATCTGTGCGCAGTTTTCTATAGTTTTGCTCGTGCAGAGGTCCCAAAGGTTTAACTTTGAGCTATACACTGTTGTTGCATTGTGTCATTGTTTGTCTAGGAGTTCTAGGTCTTGGCAACACGGCCGTCTTATGTCGCCACTTTCTTGGCCGCACTTTTTCTGAGTTCCTAGAAGTACTCGCTTGTATTTTTACGCACGCCGGGGATTTGATTCTTGCATTTTGCACTTTTGCACTTTGCATTGTCGAGATGCAAACAAAGCCGGAAAACATACCTACTACTCTGGGGAATAGAAAAGTATTCGATTTTCTTTTGCGACCCAGAGACGAACAAACTGGGTCCTCATTGTGAAAGTGTCAACGCGACTAAAAACATTAGTTTATGATCAATGCTAGGCACTATTTTATTTGCTTCAAGCATATTTTAAGATCCTAAAGGTCAAACTCATGCAATTATCACGTTTTATGTCTCATTATAAACCGATTATACTTTGAATATTCTCATCCGCATAGCAATATAAATCCGTAGGTAATTAATTAGTCGTTTGGAAGTTGGCGAAATTTGTCAACTTCTCGCTGGCGCACGCAAAGTGCCCGTAAAACAAGTGCGCGATAAATATCCACGTCCATTCCGGCGAAACAAGTTTGCGCGCACCCGGAAACGGCACAGCGCGGGCGGCGCGAATTGCCAAACTTCCTTCTCGACAGTGTCTTCCGCGTAGCGGGGCCTCTCATCTTGCCGTAAAGTGAGTTTTCAGTTAACGCAACGCCCAACACGCCAAAACGAACGGAAAGGTATAATTACAAAATTATTATACGAGCGTACCTTTACTTACAAGGCCCGGAAATGAAAAGTGTTAAGGTAGGTTATTTTCGGAAACAAAATTGATCAGTTACTAAATAAAGAAAACGTACTTTTGATGTCTTAATTGAGCAACATTGCAGATTTTTAATATAAACAGAATAAATCACAAGTTTTGTTAGTTTTATTAAACGTTCGACCTTGTTTCGCAACGTTGGCAATTTTTCATATCCTCTCCGATCCCACTGACTGGAGCCCGAGCGCATTTTTACGGTACACTTTACGTATATTTACGTTTTCATTTTTATTTCCGTTTTAAGCGTGTGCAGTAACTGCGGAGATTAATCACTTCCGTCTGCTCGCACTGGGTTTTTTTCTTCCTCCCACGCTTCAGATTCTCTTCCTCTCTTCCTATATTTTAACATTTCTATCCCTTCTTTTCCGCTTTCTTTCTTATTTTTTCTTCGCCAACGTGTGCAAAGTGCACAAACTGTAAATGTATAAAATGTCTAAGTGTATGCGTGTGTTGTGCTCTTTTTTACCGGCTTTATTTCTCGTTTTCTTCCGGTTGAGGACATGCAGCGATATTAAAACGAACGCCGCCGCCACTGCAACTTGTGCACGCTCCGATCGATCATAGATACGAACGATAAAAAGTTTGAGTTTTGCAAAATCAATCTTTGCGAGCTTTGTGCAAAAAAGTGTCACGTCGAGACGGTTAAAAAAACGCAATAAAATAAAAAATTCAAACCGTCAACGAGTCGTAAATAAACGCATAATCCGTAAGCCAAATCAACTCGTAAACTGCAACGACAAAAAATATTTTTAGAGTAAAATAAAATTACATTTAAGTCGCACATATACAAACACTTTAAATCAAACATTGTATTGCGCACAGATCTTTAAATGTCTACTTAGCAAACAAAAAATTGGATTGATTGAGTTGGCATTTTCGAATGTCTTCAATTGAATCGTCCAATGCAGCAACGCGACGCTCATAATTTTTTACGATTGGCATCATCATAATATATTTTACGACATAATCTTTTATCAATATATGGACATTGAGTCGGCGCTGCGCAAACCATGAAAAAATAAAAAAGCGAATAAAACTCACAATTTGAACTCAAAATTTTAGCCGTAAATTTTAATGCATTTTAAATCACCAATACTATTCCGAATTAAATTTTAAGCACTAATCGAATTTTTGCGAATTAAATGATTCGTTTTATTTTTTCGCGACATTTATCACACCTGCAAATTTGTGTACACATAACGAAATTAGTCGATTTCGACGCGCGTCGAGCGCTCTACGCTTGCCAATATGTCAACGTCAACCTTTTAATGAATCCGATTTATAACCGCCGCGTCCTCCTTATGTTGGAACGGGTTTTCGCGCGCCGCTCCCAGTAATGGTGGAGGCGCCTACGTGTTGAGAACGTTTTGTCGAACAAATTACCTGCCCGCTTAAACCGCGCGCATTACACACACAATTTTAATGCGCGCAATCTTTGTAACATAAGTACACCATCAGACAATGCACACCCACACACCCACACATTTCGTAAATGGTGGCAGAAATAACGAAAAGCTAAACTAATTTTCTCGCGTCGGATTTTTTTTGCCTTGCATGCTAAATTTTGAAAGCAAGTTGATATTTAATGGCATACACGTTTTGGTGACACGTGCCTCAATCAATCAATATACCTACACTCACATGTACAGAGTGTTACAAAACATTTTTTTGTTGACTGCGCGGAATAAGTGAAAAATACAAAGAAAAAATGTATCGAGCGCTAAAATTTTTTACGACGCCTTGTTTTTTAAACTTTCAGACTTGCTGTGTAGATTTTTCCTGGTTTCTTTCGTGAACGTTCGCATGCTAAGTGGAAAATAATCGCAGTGAACAAAGAGGGTTTATTTAAAATAATTTATTGCTTGTTGTGCACCTACACGCCACAATTTTTACAGCAATTAAAAAATGAAAATAATCCGTCATTGAGTAGTTAAATTCTGCCAAAATTATAATTTTTTATCCGGTACATGATTCTTGATGCCGTTTTTAAAATTTGCCCTGTTGTGTTTTAATGTTTTCATCCTCTCAGGCGGCCAGAATGTTTTTAGTGTTATTTTTAATGTTGCGTCCTGCGAACTTTTTATTTTATGTTTATCCGAATGCGAGCCCACAAAGCCGCTTGCTATATTTTTATTCAGTTATATATATTTCGCGCGGCACGTACTTGAACCCCGCACACACTCAACCACATCGAAATATGTACGGATACGTTTGTATATCACACAGAAAACATTTGGAATCTGAAATTTATTTTTTATGCAAATGTATTACTATAAATCCGCCTGCAAAATCCCGTTAGAAAAATGCCACACGTCGTGCAGCTCTCGCTACAAAAAAAAAAGGAACAAGTCGACTTATAAATATAATAAAACTTGTTATATTACTCAATGTTATCCATAAACATAAAAAAGTGAAAAACCAGAAAATAATAATCTAATCAACTGCTAATTAAATAATTAATTAACTATAAAACCTTTTATAAAAGCGGTGGTTAAAAAAAACTTTACTGCCCTAGGGCCGTAAAGAAACACGTATCCTTTGTTTGATGTTTGCGTGCTTCGAGATTATTCGCGTGTCTACGACTCTGAACGATGTGATTCGCGTACATAGCTGACGCAACCAGTTATACAAACAAATAGTGGCTGAAAAAGTTACATGTGTTCTAGACAAAGAAAATAATACTCTTAAACTTGTAAATTTACGCTTTATATCCCCTCATGCGACATAAAGCATCGTACGTCATATGTCACAAATGCTAATTTTTGATTTGAATATTATAATAAACGTTCTCGACGCTAAAATGTTTCCTTCAACATGTGCGAATGCTCATT